TAATATAAATAAGAATATTTTAAATAACTTAAATATATATGCAATAGAAATCTAAGTGAACCTACGACGGCGATTAATTATTATACACGAGTATTATTCTTTTATTATTTTAACAACTAAACAGATTCCACTTAATAATTTCATTATAAATTATGATAAAGATAAATGAATATTTATTTTATCAGAATAACATCAATCATTTAAATTTGTTTCATTTGCTCTCATTGCGATTTGACTAATTGCCACGAAGATTGTTTGTATCAATGTGATATGGTATGAATACTAGTTGAATCAGGCAGATGCCTGGAACTAAACTGAAGAGTTTAAAATAAATTGCATCAGCCAACAACGAAAATGATGACGTCACGGTACACTTTAAATATTTCTGCAGGTCGTGCTTCGTCATGTGTTCCAAAAATATATAACCAAATGTCAGTAGCGTTCATTCAAAACTTTATTTCTTCGAAGCCTTCTCGAAGAATATATAAACTTGATTTCAACAAAGACGAAAAAAACTTTTTACAAATCCGCTATCCATCCGAGTTGTAGTTTCAAAGACGTCTAAAAATTGACAATTTAATATTCTTAAAAGAACGTGTACCAAAGTTTTATACAAAAGAATGAAATACTTTCTTAACAACCTAAAGTCGTTAAATTTAATTTATTTACATTGAAAACTGGTGGTGGACTCTAATCAGGGTTGCTAGCACATTTTCATATTATTTTCAAGCTTTGCGATCTGACAAAGTGGTAACCACAATAAATTCAACTCAATTGGCGCTTCTTTATTTATATTAAATATATGTGTTTTAGTGGTGCCCTCAAATATTTAGACGACGTACCGCAAGACTGGACTTTTATTTAAAAAAATATTTTGGAAATAAATGCTGTAAAAAATAGCCTATTACTCAGGGATAATGCAGCATTTTAATGTTGAAAAAAAAATTTAGAAATCATTTAGTAGTTTTAGACAAACATATAAAAATAAAAATAATTCCTCTTTATAATATGTATTACTATACCGCTAACGCAAGTTACTAGGATAATACGATTATTAATTGATAATTAAAAATAACGGTAAAACTATGTAATTTAAAGCCACAGAACATTGTTATCAATATGAGACGTGTTGGCTTGGGGCTTGAGCGTACGACTCCCGTAGACCCAAAAAGTCGATGTTGTGAGGCACAGAAGATTAATCACCTCCTAGGCTATTAGAAAAAAAGACCAAAGGCGCCACTGTTTTTTTTATACTCGTAGATATCGCTGGCAGCCCTAAATCTAATTCGAAATTCGAATGATCACGAAGTTCTGATGAAAGATACAAACTTTTAGGTATACGTTGCATTTCAACTGTGATGTCGTTAGTTATAACTTTGCTTTTATGATCCTTCATACTTTTATTTGAGTTGAAAACTTTTATTTATAGCAGTTTTCATGTAACAATTTTTGGAGCACGCAATACTATGATTAGTGAATTATTTTATTGGTAGTAATTTCTTGTTTGATCATATAGTTCAAGCTGCTATTGAATTATAAAAAACTAACGAACTAAAAAATCGAAAACGTATTTTTTTATTGCTATTCTTATATTTCCGGCAACGCATTTGCGAGCCTTCTGGCATTGTGAGTGTCCATGGGCGGGGCGGTATCACTTAATATCAGGTGAGACTCCTGCCCTTTTGCCCCCTGTTCTTAAAAAAAACTCTTTTAATTCATTGATAGTTGTTGAAAAATCCCAAATTATCATAGAGTACGTATTAAACATTATTAACGTGGGCTAAATCTATATATCTCTCAATCTATATAATGTATTATCTGGTCAGTTTATCGAAATATGCACTACTATATTGTTACACCGCATTGTATTACCGGCGTCCATGCGTCGGGTTGTCTCTCTCCCTAAAATATGGCGAAAGGGCCGATGGCTGGCCATGCATCATGCTCGTGAACGGGTGCTGCTTGTGGTGACTGGTCGTACTTGAATTCGTGTATGCGGTGATGTTGGTTATGTGTTTGCGTGTTGTTCCCACGAGAATGTAAGTGCGTGCTCCTATTTCACCATGCCTCCTGCTGATAGAGGACAAGTCTTTGTTTTTTTTTAATTTATGTTATTATTATTAATTACTTGATGTCATGTGGAACATGGTGTAATGGTTGCAGCTCCTTACCAACATTGTGTAAAAAAAACAAAATGGCGATTAAAAAGAGTGGCGGATAGTTTATTGCCAGTTCTTCTCTCCCGTTCTACACCCTTGATTTGAGAACTGGCCGTAAATGTAAAATTAGAAGCCTTAATATGTATTTCTTTACTGACGAGTCATAAGTGTACATTATGTTACCTATATGATTAAATGATTTTATACTTTTACTTTACTTTACATTACTATAAAGTATCAAACGAATATATTGAAATCATTTAAATAAATCCTCGCAGCCAACGTACGTCTTAATATTTAAATTCCATTGAAGCTTATCAGGAACAAACCTTCATCTCATTATTCGTTCTAACATAAATATTCACAAAACCGTATCTCGGGTTTAGCGCTATTCAAGACAACGTTCCCCAGTAACGACATTTTACGGCGACTTGTATGTTTATCTCAGCAAAATTTATTGCGCCAATAAAGCCGGGTTCACATGTGATCACCGATCTGCGCAAGACACGAACGAAATCAGCTCGATAACTGATTGCTTGACAGTAGTGCTCGCTTGCTAGAAAGTTTTAACTGAGCGCTAAATGTTGGGAAGTTTTTAAAGAAAGGGAAACCTTAGGAAAATAAGGTTTAAATTGTTGACAACATGTTGGGATTTGTTTGATGTCAAATGAAACAAATTTTCATAAGCAGGGAGGGTAATTGGGATCACTTTGACTACCCTCCTTGTTAATAAAATTTAGTTTTTTAACTTATAAAAAGTTAGTTTGTTAACTTCAGAAGATGAATTAAGCGCAAATTATTGAAGAACCTTATCACTCCAGCGTCTAGCAAAGAAAGTATTATTTTAAAAATTTTAATAAAGAACGTTTGTGAAAACGACCAAAAACTTTCAGACGTTTTATACTATAAGAGCATAGTTAAAATGACGAAAGTATAGCGTGTCTTATCTATGTAAGTTGAGTTAGATTGTGCATTTTATTGGTGGCCAAAACTGAGGTGAATGGGGACATTAATGTTGTGGACCAATATCGTTTGTTTTATGCGCTTCGGTGTCCAAAGTTTATTTTATGCTTCGTTTTATCCATCTCATAAAATTCAATTCATTTCAATTCTGATTAAAATTTAAGAGCGGCTAGTCTAGTTGAATTAATAGAATATAAATTTTGTGAAATAATTCTTGGTCAGACTTAAAATAAAAATACCAGGTTATAAGAATCAATCTCAATAGACAACACCGCACCGAATGTATCACCTAGTGCACGGGTTCTCACCGTAATATTACTACATAATTTCATGTTGCATCAACGCAATATATATTTAAATAAAACTCCTTTAACGGATATAAACAAGAACTATATCTTATTATATATCTTATTTCTCGCTGACCCCAATGACAGTAAACAATACCAATGATAACTAAACTGTAGGTGTATATTTATATTTTTTTAATATATTTTAATTGTAGAATTATCGGTATAGATTTTACTGAGTAGATCTATCGTAAACATAGAATATATATATGTAAGAAATATATAAAATAAGCGTTTGATAAATTTGAATTTCATTTTATTTTTCAAATCAGGATTTATTAAATAAACACGTTTAATTTTATAAAAATTTGATCAGGCGTATATAGACAAAAGGTTCTTTCATGATATCGGACCCGAGATCCGTACTTGCTGAATCATCAGTAACAATTCTGAGATATTCATGTAATTCACGGCTCATTGCGCGACTATGATAATGCATTGTAATGCATCATTTATCATGCACCCTTCACTCGCAGCCGATCGGCTTGAAAGGCCACCCTTTGTGACCAAGCTTCTTATGTCAGCGGGTTATAAAATATTTTCATGGTCCATTGGAACGTAGTTTTTAAAGGTTACACACTTGAGTTCAGTTGAGCAGTTATTTTAATACTGCATTGACACTTTTTGAACATAAAAAAACTTGTAAGTTGCTTTAATGCATTGTGTGATTTCATTTACACCATAACAATGAAATTACATATAATAAGTTTTATATGGAGGAGACCTATTACTTTGTACTATGGAGTTTCCAATAGTGGCTAGTTTTATTATTAGATATGAAATGTATTTTTTATGTAGATGTTAGAAGAAAATATTATTTTGCAGTGAATTATTCTATGGTCACTAGATGTGGCGATCATTATCTTACTTTAGTAAAATTATAACCTACGAAATGATATAAGTGAAATTATCATATCATTTAGCATACAGCGTCAACATTTTACTCACAGGTACATGTTAGGAAAAAATAGAATTCGGAGTTCTATAATTTCCAATTTTATTTTATTTTATATTTACATTTAAGGTACAGAAACAGACATCAAATTGGTTAAATACATTACAGTTATTACACACTAAAAATTATTTGTAAACCTGAAGTCCAATTAGATCTGTACACAGCGTTTTAGTAGAATCTTCAGTGCTGGTTTACCAAATACTAACAATTACATGCAATGGCGAGAGTTGTATAGTTCTCTTAATACCTACTAGCATTGATTCCGCGATCTTAAGATCGCGTAGTAAAATGATACAAAATATAGTACAGACAAATAAATGAATATAATGTTATAACCACTACTGAATAATAATGATTAATAACACAAATAAAATAATTATATTAATTACTCTGAGGTCTTGTAACTACAGTTAATACAATCATGAAAAATACTAAAAATACTTCTTAGCTCTTTGCTTTGTGTATGACACAATTAATTCGAAGTTTTCTCTTTACAGAACCATTAGATGGCGAGAGGGATATACACCATGGTATACTTATAGCATCCAGAAACTTTCAGTGCTGGTGGAGACCAAAATGATAATACTGATACTAGTGCACTTCATCACTCTCCCAGCACTGACGTCACGAGCTAACGGAGACACAATGGAAGACAAAACACAACCGTTGATAAGTTCCAGAGTGGTTCGGACTAAATACGGTGATATACGAGGCTTTATAGTTACTCCAGAATCGAGGTTTCTAGAACCCGTGGAAGTATTCCGAGGAATACCTTACGCGTCACCTCCCGTTGGTTCGTTACGTTTCATGCCGCCGGTATCGGGAGCCCAATGGTCTGGAGTTAAAATAGCTGAAGAATTTAGCCCAGTTTGTCCACAAGTACTCCCTGATGTACGTAATGAAACGGCTGTACTGAAACGAATATCGAAAGGGCGATTGGAGTATTTGAAGAGGATTTTGCCGTTTCTTACTAATCAGTCGGAAGATTGTCTTTATTTAAATATTTATGCACCGGCTCAAGGTTAGTCTATTTTTAATAATTTTTAATTAATTATAATAAATATGATAAACATAATACCACGCCAGGCAACGCTGCTTATGAACCGACACGCTTTCAAATTTGTTAAATGTGCCATGGTACACATAAAACTAATTTTATCTTGAGTGACTATCCAACCTACCAAAATGGCTTTTGTTACTTACTTTTTTATTATATCGTTTAAATATTTTCTAAAAGTTGCTTTCAATTATTACTTTAAATAATAAATACTAGTGTCGAAACGAAATCCATACTGCTACTTATGAACTGCTATTATGAACTGAAGTTCTATCGAACAGAAATTTAATGAAAATATTTGGTTTCTGTTTTCTCTTGAACATTATAAATAATCGTCAAAGGGCTTATCATAGAATCAACTTCAAATTATCTCAGCATCTCACCTACAGTTCAAAGAAATGTCGGATATCAAGAGCCCAGACACAAAAGTTACAAAAGGTATTATTACGAATCTAATTTATAATTTCGAGCGAAAACGTCCAAGAGATATAATTTTCTGGGAGACTTTTGTCCTTGGGCAAAATCACATTTATTCGACTGTAACAGGAGAGTTTTTCGGGTCGGATTTTGGGAGTGAACGAACGCCTTCTATAATTTATAGACACCCAATTAAACCGTCAGCATCAAACGAGGTACCAGTTTGAGTTACTGCAGATTTTTCGAGCTTATTACGATATTTTTACCGAGAAATTAAGATAGTTAATTACGTCAAGGGATTTAATTTACTTTGAAGCCTTTAAGGGTAGCTTTTTTGTTCTTCCTATTATGTATATTTTTGCTTGCGGCTTTTCGTTAAATTAAAATTAAATATAATCATATATATTCTACAAATTAATTAGTAATTTCAGTAAGGAAACGCTAGCAACGATTTTTATCAAGTTAATCTTGACATCTCTTGTACTTATTTCGTTTTATTTAAACTACTAGATAATAATAGGTTAATTAACGTTTATTTCGTTTTGGTAAAAATAAATTTTAAATAATATTCAAGGTAAAAGTAATATAAAATAATTAAAATATTATAACACAACTAGCTGACCCGGCAAACTTTATTTTGCCATGTAGGTTGTGGGTATGTTTCTAGGAAACATTTTTTTTGTTCAATAAAAATAACCATCTGCAATAATAAAAAATAGAGGTTGATCGTAAAGGGGTGAAAATTAGGGGTTGTAAGTATTTTTAGATGCTGTATCATAAAAAACAAAAAAAAATGTCTAAAATATAAATAAAATTTGGGGTGGACACCCCTTATCACTCTCCTTTGAAAGATAGATAGTAGCCGATTCTCAGACTTACTGAATGTGCATAAAATCGGTCGGTAAATTCATAAGAATCGGTCGAGCCGTTTCGGAGGAGTATGGGTACGAACATTGTGACACAAGAATTTTATATATTAGATATAATATATATCAGCAAACAAATGTTTAGCGCTAATTTCGTGATTGAATTATTTTACCCGTAAGTTATCTGTAATAATAAAATGTCAAAACCAAAAGTAAACAGTACAAAATGTTCCAACTATGATAAAAGCAATTCAGGATAACAAAAGTAAATTTAGCGATAGTTTTGTCTGTATAAAGGAACTGTCAAAATTACAAACATTGCGGTGAGGTATAAAAGGCGACGGGATTTCCAAAAAACACCTCGCAATTCGGATATTACGTCGAAAACCATCCAATACTTTTTCCGAGCTGTGTCGTCTTTTGTTAGCTGCTATACCTTTTCACATCTTCGTTTTTGTTCGACACCCAATATTTGCTGATTTATAGAAAGAGCTGCGCAGATAACACATAACGTAATATGTCAAGTTTTAAACGCAAGTACACATATATTTTACTTGAAGCTGGCATAAAGTAAAAACTATTTCCATAACATTTAAAAAAAAAAAGATATGTGTAATTTGTACGTAAGACTGATTTTTAAGGTTTAAATATAAGAAATATATGACTGAAAAATAAAAAAAATTGATAAAAAACATCTCTACGATGTAGCTATTCACGCGAGTTCTAAAGTATAAATTCGTAGGCAAGCATGTCACGTATAAAGAAAAATTTACGTATAAAGGTATAAGAAAAAAAATATAACAGGTGAAGAAATGTTTGGCAAAACGTGTGTTGTATATGCTACTTGACGCGTTATATTACCACAAAAATAAAATAGATATGTATAATTGTATAATTATGAGGCATATATGTAGGCATTACAACTTTTTAAGTCTGAGCTTCAGATTACTGTATCCATTTCGTGACAATTTTATTTGGTAGGTAGGTGATCGACCTACTCTGACTGATACAGGCCGTCGGATGTTTGGGTCAAAGGCCTGTAGGTTTCCTCATAATTTTTTCCTTTAGCGAGTTCTAAATACGCAGTTAGCCAAACATTCCAATGGTGAACAGCCGGGGTCCGAACCTACGGATGCGACGCGCGCACTGAAGCCGCTCTAGTTTACCTGTAAACTAGCCATAATATCAAATATTATATTTTGTCTAATGTCTATAAAACCCATCTTTTTATTACTAATTACCTTACTGAAACGTCGACTTTCATACTTAAAAAGTCACTGTTTTATTCACTTTCAATTAGTCTTTAAAAACTTGGACAAAAGCTTCGACGTTATTTTGGTTATTCTTATTCAAAGTCTAGACTGCAGTCTTATCTTTTTTCATTAGTGGCGACTAGCATGCCGCGACGACGATTAGTCACGGAATACATTGTTTTAAGAACATTCTAATTTTAGTGTTCTTTGTTCTTTCGCTATTGTGGCCTTTTTTAATCCCCTATCAAAATTTAAGTTTTAATTTTACTACAACAAAATTGTTGTCATATTGGTTTGAGTACTGAACGATGCTACGGTTCAAGCATACAACACTTGTTACTATTAATTATTGTTATTGGTATTAGACATTCTTTAGTACGATATTTAAAAATAAAAAAGAGTGTGTGTACTTATGTACACGCGTTAGAAGTTATACTTCTTTGGCGTATGGAAAGAAATAACTAAAATGCAGTAGTGATTAACGATAAAGATTAAAATTAATCAATAAAATTATTATTAGTAAATACTATCACCGTCGCATATGAAATTGACTTAATAAAAACACCAAAATAATATTTATTTATTCACACTGTTTAATTGTACTGTTACATAAAAATACTAGAACAACAACTTGAACATAGTTATTATCGATTTTCATGCCACCTAGAACTAACTTCATTCTGTTAATTTTGTGTAACGGTGCGCGCGCATCGTAAAATTTCACTCTCATCAATTTTTCATAACGCGCCTAAAGAAGTATAACTTCAATAAGTAATGAGACAATAATGGAAATGATCTTATGAAAGGTTTTTTTTTAAGTTACATTTATCCAATGTATTCGAAATGCACCGATATGAAAAATAACATACCTAAGTGCCGTGTTCACAACAGTCATAAATCAAGTCCCAATACAATCGCACAAACTAACCTAAAGCTTTGTGACCAGCCCGTAATCCATCATATTAGCTAACAAACTAACCGACTGTGATACAGAAATAACGCTCGCTGGCCTGTATGTAAATGAAATGGGAGTTAACATTGCGTGACCAACCTGAATTTCAGGATTCCAATTGATTTTGAATTTAGAGCCAAAATTATGGGAATGGCTGTGTATAATTCAAGATTATTTAGGTTTTGTATAATTGATACATACCAATAGTTTGGATACCTCGTTCACTTTACCTTTTGTTTCTATATGTTAACGCGTTTCCTCTAAGGAAGAATTGAATTTTAATTGGTAATCTAATGTTTTAATTACGTCTGCTCCCTAGTAAATAGACTGCTTATGGCAAAAATACAGATAAAAATAACCACAGTCTGAGCGACTAGCAAGACAGCTGTCGGTTAAGGCTTTGTTAAATCACTAATTGAATATAACAACTTTACTAATATTGGCAATCAGTAAAATTGTTCTATCATTATCTGTAATGTATACGTTTGAACGATTACGTTAACATAAATAGCCGCACAATACTTCATTAAAAGCAATTTGAAATCAAACACAAACCAGCATACAAAGCATGAACATACGGTTTTGAAACAACACTCGGGAATGTAAAACCTAATTTGCATTCCGCAATGAGTTATTTAACTCCACTATTGTGGCATTCACAATACAAAACTCTGCTGCGACCAGTGCTCACTTATGGATCTGAAACCTGGCCCCTTAGCAAGAAAGACGAGATCTCTCGCCTTATTTTCGAGCGGAAGATTCTTCGAAGAATCTTTGGTCCTGTATGCAACGACGGTGTTTGGCGTATCCGCTACAATGAAGAACTTAATAACATCCTAGACGACGCCAACATCGTCCAATTCATAAAGTGCAACAGGCTCAAGTGGCTGGGACATGTGCACCGAATGGCGAACGACAGAACCTCAAGGTCCTTACTAAACTCACAATCCGGTGGCAAAAGAAAACCTGGTAGACCGAGGCTGCGTTGGTGGGATGGAGTTGTCAAGGACCTCGAAACAATAGGGGTTCGCAATTGGACGCGGGAAGCACAAGATAGATTGCGATGGCGAAGTGTAATTGAGGAGGCTAAGGCCCACAAAGGGCTGTATAACCATTGATGATGATGATGATTGTGGCATTCATGATAATATTTTAATAGTTAGATTCTATTCTTTGTGAGACTAGTTAAAGGTATCTTATATTAAACTAAGAGATAGAGACATTTGGAGTTATAAATTCAGTTCATTTATAAACTATAACCAAACCTTTCATTTTTTTTTAGCTGTTTATTAGTCTTCTCAGTGATTTATATTTAATGAATTATAATAATTGATAAATAACTGTATGCTTGATTCGTATATTCATTCCTGTTAGCAATAGATTATCTATTTGAAGGTTAAACAATTTTTACAAGCTTGGCCTTGGTTTACATCTAGCGTTGGCTCATAACTCCTCAAAAACTCTTCTTGGATAGCTTATAT